ATCTGCAGTGTTAGTCGTCCCGTTTTCGTTCATCAACTCACCTGCCGCTCTCTCGCGCGTCCTAGTCGCGGAACCGCCATAGACCTGCCCGCCCGCATATCGCACTCGCTTGTCTCGAGGTAAGGCGTAGATACTGACACAATATGCATAGGCATTCGTGTGCTGAATGTTCCGCAGCCATTTACCATCACGAGTGGAAGTGCATCGTCCGCGGAATCTCGACGCCGCTCGCTCGCCCGCTCAACCGCGCCCGCACACAACCCTCACCCAGCTCATTGCCACACTCGCCCACTACCGTCGCATACGCCACGCTCATAGGACGTGATAAATGGTCTCTGCTACCTCGCATCATACCAGTCTCTTCGATCCGGACACCAGCGACTCTATCAATCGCGACGGGCATACGTCGGGCGAGATCGGTGAGTTGCGACTTGTGCGCGGCCTGTGGCCGCTCTTACCGACCTGGGTCGAAGATGGTCAGGTCAGAGTCAACGCTACCGGGCACATGCTTCGATCTATCCGCGAGAGAGGGGCCCCTCCTCAGGACGTCCAGGCCAGCCCGCTCGAGAGTCGATCGTCCCCTTCCGCCGACGGCGTAGACGCTCCTTCGCCAACGATCACCGAGCTCGCGCGCACGTTGACATCGGGCCCTTCATCTGAGGCCATACCACCAGCGCGCTCACTCACCATACGGGCGCGACTCGGCCGGATTCGCACGGCGCTATCGCGCGGCGCTGGACGAGTTCGAAGGGTCATCGACCGTGTCCGCTTTCGCTCTCGTACGCAGGAGTAGGAGTCAAAGTGGTGCAGAGTATGAGTTGGAGCGAATTGTGTTCTCCTGTGCTTCCTCCTGGCTTATAACGACATTTCTCGGACTGTCTTCTTGAATGTTCATCATGTATATACCTTCTGCCACTTCTTGCACTCCCGTTCTCCGAATTACATACAACTCTGACCGTCTCCTTTCCTTTCGCTGAGCCAGCTTAGGTTTCTCAAGTGTATATTTTCTCCTTACTGGTGTTCGGTGACTACACGCGCAGCGAGGACGTGCTGCCGGACGGGTGCCCTTATGCCTGCGCGTCTGACCGAAAGTCGCGTGACCGCGATCTACCGCCCAGTTCGACTATACCGCATACGCTGCTCCCGTTCCTACCCACCCATTGCCTACCTATCTGAACTGGTCGGTACACGCTAGAAGTGCTGGAGCCGGGGAGCACGCTCTGCACGGTCTTTCGCAGCGTCCGATGGCACTTATAGCAGACTTCTTTGATGTCGTATATCCATGGGTTAGGGTTAGGAAGGGGAAGGGAACAGACACCAGTTTCTCCCAATGATTTACATAGGACCATGGAAGTCCGCACAGCATAGGTGATTGTAGAGCGTATACAGTCTGAATGACGAACCTATACATCGGGCCGCTGGCTCGACCTGCATAGGTGCAGCGCAGATCGAGGTGGACAAGTGTTTATTACGGGCGGGCGCGCAAACGACTCTGATATGCATCGTGACACAACTAGCGTAGAGGGAGGAATGAACAAGGAGGCGACTGTCATCAACTACGTACAGACGGGGGTGCATGAAGACCGACGACCGGGGCGTTGCAGGCACATTGTAAAGGTAATGTGGTGGAAATAGAACGAGCGGCGGGTAGGGAAGGGTGAATGCTGTAATCTCTGAGACGCGACATGAGTAGCGGTAGTGGTGGGAAGCGATGAGAGGTTGTGTGCAAAGCCCATATCGCGAGGTATAACTTCAGTCCATGTACACGGGCGGCGCGTTTGCACGTCGCATCTCCTCGCGATACATTGCGAGGGACCGAGCGATGGAACCCGCAGGCTCTCCGACCGAAGCGCGACGGTCTCCGATCTCGTACGCCAGCCTGAGTACCCGAAACACGACAGGAGCGGTCGCCGGGTTGCCCTCGTAGGACTCGTCGCCTCTATGC